TGCGCGTGCTTGTGTTTTGTCTAAAAAGAAAAAGAAAATGCTAATTTCAATTATGAAAAAAAAGTAAATTGAATATGTACAGTATTATTTTACTACTTACAGTGGCAGGGGGGAAAGCAGACTTCTAAGCATGATTATTTTAGTCTACAAAACCTTATATCTGTTTTATAAAACCAAGGAAAGGAATTCTAAATGTTTAAAGATGTAAAAACCAGGGTTGGTGATTTTTTTAATTTAAAAAATCGATTTTTAAAATTTAAATCAAGATTTTTGTAATTTAAATCGGATAAAAAAAAATTTTTTGATTAAAAAAAAAATGTCGACACAGTTTGGAATTATGGCTACAGACAAAAAATGAAGAAAATGTCAGTCTAAAAGGAAGGGGGGGGGGGTAATTATGCATAGATAAACTTGCATTTTATTACAGTGTGTGTGTGTATGCGCGCGCTTGTGTTTGTCTAAAAAGAAAAAGAAAATGTTAATTTCAATAATGATTTTAAAAAAGTAAATTGAATATTGTATTATTTTACAGTGACAGGGGGAAAGCAGACTTTTAAGCATGATTATATTAGTCTACTAAACCTTATATCTGTTTAATAAAACCAAGGAAAGGAATTCTGAATGTTCAAATATGTAAAAACTGAATACATTTTTAAAAGTGATTTAAATCACTGATTTTTATTTAAAAAATCAAGTTGATTAAAATATTTAAAAAATCAACTGATTTAAATCAACCCAGCTCTGATTTCAATTATTATGGAAAAAAAAGTAAATTGAATACGATATTATTTTACAATGAAAGGAGGGAAAGCAGACTTTTAAGCATGAATATATTAGTCTACTAAACCGTATATCTGTTTTATGAAACCAAGGAAAGGAATTCTGAATGTTGAAATATGTAAAAACTGAATAAAAATAAATTTTTAAAAAAGTGATTTAAATCACTGATTTTTATTTAAAAAATCAAGTTGATTTAAATAAAAAAATCAACTGATTTAAATCAACCCAACCCTGGTAAAAACAGAATACATTTTAAAAAGTGATTTAATTTAAATCACTGAGTTTTATTTTATAAATCAAGTTGATTTAAATTTTTTAAAAATCAACTGATTTAAATCGACCCAACCCTGGTTTTCAATTATGAAAAAAAAGTAAATTGAGTACTGTATCATTTTACAGTGACACTGTTTTATAAAACCAAGGAAAGGAATTCTGAATTTTTAAAGATGTAAAAGCAGAATACATTTTTTTAAAGTGATTTAAATCACTGAGTTTTATTTTTAAAATCAAGTTGATTTAAATTTAAAAAATCAACTGATTTAAATCAACCTGATTTAAATCAACCCAACCCTGGTTTTCAATTATGAAAAACAAGTAAATTGAGAACTGTATTATTTTACAGTGACAGGGGGGAAAGCAGACTTTTAGGCATGATATTAGTCTACTAAACCTTATATCTCTGTTTAATAAAACCAAGGAAGGGAATTCTGAATGTTCAAATATATGTAAAAACTGAATACATTTTTTTGAAAAGTGATTTAAATCACTGATTTTTATTTTAAAAATCAAGTTGATTAAAATAAAAAAAATCAACTGATTTAAATCAACCCAGCTCTGATTTCAATTATATGGAAAAAAAGTAAATTGAATACAGTCCATGCCGGCTATAAGCACGGTCATCGGGAGAAAGCTTAAGAGTGCTTAAAGCCGAAGCGTGCTTAAGTGCGAAGTAGACATAATCCAGAGATTTTCATGTAGAAAATTCTCCGTGTTATTTCCCTTTGTTTGTAAGTAGGCCTATAGCGGTCCCCCAAAAGTGTGCACTGTTATTAAGACACCCGCCAAGGTAGTTTTGTTCGCTTGTTTGTTTTTGTTTTGTGGTCGAATGGGAAATGAAAACTTAATTTAGACGGCCAGTCACGATACAGCACACTAGGCCTACTGTAACACACTGCCTGTGCGTACCACTGCCCGCTGTGCCACTCCCATACCACCGCCTTCATCCCACTTCGCGCGTGATACACAATCAGGATTAATGGATAGCGAGGGTCAAAGGTGAAATCACAGCCAGCCTCCCTTTCTCGTCTCCCCGACTCTTTGTATTTTTTTTGGGTCGTGTGTAGCTTTGCCCTAGGCCAAGGCTAGATCCTATGTCCGCACGCACGGCTGTGTGCATCTCTCTGCCTTCCTCTCCGCCCGTGTGAGTGTGTGTGTCCATCACTTGCGTTCTTTGTGTTTCTCTTGACACACTCCACTGCTGCGGTGTAGACTGTGTTCAAACTTCGATGGGTCATCATGAAAATATTGACTGTCTTGTAAATGAAGCGTGCTTGAAGCCGAAGTTACCGTGCTTAAAGGCGTGTGATTTACAGTGGAAACCTGATATAACAGGAGTGGTGGGAGTAGAGAAAATGTCCTGTTATATCCGATCCCTGTTAAATCAGAAATGCAAGGAAAGTGAGCATTTGTGGACTAATCCAGTTGTACTTATTCATGGGTAGTTTCCTTTGCCACAAGTGCCCACGAACAGGAGTTTTGGCACCAACTTTCTCCTTTGCCTCACATCTGAAGAGCTTGGTCCACAGCATCTGCATCGGGTAGTCTCATCTTCTTTCGATCATGAGCAAACTTTCCATTTGGGAATGCTGCCATTATCTTCTCTCTATCCTTGGTAATGGTGTGAATCGACCCTTGTGGTATGTCGAACCGACGACAAATCTCTGCCAGTGGAGCTTGCTTTCTGTCAAACAGCCTGGATTATTTCATATTTTTTGTCAATTGAAAGGCATTTTCTCGTGCGCTTGACATCGTTGGTGACACAACGCGTGTGAGTTGTTAGGTTTCGGGCTAGATCGAGGTCTGCAGCACACCGCAGCCCTCTTTTGCTTCACACGCTGCGTGTGCTTGCAGTGGCATGGCTTGCGTGGGCTTGCTCCATCACTGCGTTACTCTCTCTCTCTCTCTCTTACTTTTTACACATTGTAACGAGCCTTTGTCCCTGCTATAACCGGTTGGGCTGCGATGAGGCCCTGTTATTGCCGATAACTTTTCATAGAGACAAAGAGTAGGAAAAAACGGGGATTTTAAAAATCCCTGTTATTACCGGATCCTTGTTATTACCGGGCCTGTTATATATATATGGTTTCCACTGTATATAGCAAAAATTCGGTAAGAGCCGTTTAGCGTGCTTAAGTCCGAAACGTGCTTAAGGCCGGCGTGCTTAAAGCCGGCACGGACTGTACTGTATTATTTTACAGTGAAAGGGGGGAAAGCAAACTTTTAAGCATGATTATATTAGTCTACTAAACCTTATCTGTTTTATGAAACCAAGGAAAGGAATTCTGAATGTTAAAATGTGTAAAAAATGAATAAAAATAAATTTTTTAAAAAGTGATTTAAATCACTGATTTTTATTTAAAAAATCAAGTTGATTTAAATAAAAATAATCAACTGATTTAAATCAACCCAACCCTGAAAAACACTAGGGGCAACAACAGCAACAAGAAAAGAGCTGCAACTGTTTTTGTTTGATGTTAACAGTTGTTAGTTTGGCGTGTGTACGCGTATAAATAAGGCCGCAAGCATCATGTGCGGGTGTGAGTGTGTCTGCGTGCGTATGTGTGTGAGAGAGAAAGGGTGTGTGAGTGCGTGTGTGTGTGTTTGTTTTTCTTTTTTCTTTTTAAACTTCTTTTTTTTGTCACAGACTCACACTGTTGCTATTAACGCTGCATTAATTGTCACAGTCACTGCTGTCGCAATTAACGCCGCGTTAGTGGTTACAGAGTCACTCTGTCGCAATTAACGCTAGCCTACCATCTCTATATAGAATCTAGATATATCTAAATCTATGTCTACAGGAAGGCCAAGACAATTCAATAAAAAGCAAACACACAGACATGAGACTCTGACAATATGAAACGTTAGAATATTCTAGTCTACAGTCTACACAGTACAGTAGGCTAAGGCCTGTTCCTTCACTTCATGTCTGAGTCTGACAGGTTCAATAAATGATCGAAGTGTTTACAGACCTGGTAACCGGGAACAAAATCACAAAGTATACAGACCCGGTAGGGGAACTCTTTTGTGATTTCGAAAAGTTTCAGCGCTCAGACCCGGTAGTGTGTGTGCGTGTGTGTGAGAGAGAGAGAGAGAGAGAGAGAGAGAGAGAGAGAGAGGGGGGGGAGAGGGCGAGAGAGAGAGAGAGAGAGAGAGAGAGAGAGAGAGAGAGAGGGCGAGAGAGAGGGAGAGAGAGAGAGAGAGAGAGAGAGAAGGGGGGGGGGGGGTGGCAGAGAAATAGAGAGGGTGACTGCTCGATTGAAATTATTACATTGTTCTTTTCCTCAAATTGTGATTCCTCCAACTCCAAAGCGGAGGAAAAACGATCGTTCATCGGAAAGACATCCGCAATCTTCATTTAGATCTAGATCTATATCTAGGCTAGCCTAGAAACTAGATCAATGATTTATGATGTCTGTCTGTCTTATAATAATAAATAATAATATTTGAATAGCGCATATCCCCGCTCAACTCAGCAGGCTCTATGCCTATGCGCTTTACACTATATTATTACCCCAGCAGACCATAGAACATTCCGAAACATTCTCAGCTTCCCGGGAAGCATACAGTGCAAGCAGCTGATTAAAGCGCTCAAACACTAACAAACTGACAAGATCTTTCGCTGTCTATAGCCGGGTACCCATTCCCACCTGGGTGAAGTGAGGAAAATTCGTGTAAAGTGCCTTTCCCAAGGACACAACGTCGGGCCCCTAGCGGGATTCGAACCCACGACCTTACGGTTGCGAGTCCGACAGCCTAACCACTAGGCCATCGACGCCACTGCGCCGAAACGTTGTGACTTTGTTCCCGGTTACCGGGTCTGTATACACTCGGACCATAAATAAATGTCCACATTGAACAAAAGGTTCACATCTATAATTATAGTCTATAAGACATGCCGTTAATCTTAGAAATGACGCATCTTTCTGATTGGCTGCTTATTTTAGTAATGTGATGTCAGCACTTCCTGGGATACCCAAACATGGAACGATGTGTTTTCGGTAACATTTCGGATTTTCTAGATCTAGACTCTAGATCTAGTCTAGATCTAGTTTCTAGATTAGATCTAGATCTAGATCTAGATATCTAAATTTAGATCTAGATCTAGATTCTAGATCTAAATTTAGATCTACCACCCCCCCCCCCTCCTGCATTTTTAATCACTAATACATTTTTTAAAATAAACAACAACTTCAAAGTCAAAGCAACTCTACAAATTAGGCCTATAATTTATGGAACTGTTGGTCAGTCGGGAGGAGGAAATGAGAAAAAAAAACTGTCCGGGACCGGAATCGAACCGCTCCAAAAGTCATTGCTCGACATCAAACGCAGACGCGCTATCAAATCAGCTATCAGAAATTCCGAGATATTTGTGTAGATTAAGCATAATATACATAGACACTTCCATCTTTGGTGCCATGCGGTTGTCTATACTTAGATGTAGTCACGTGATCGGAGGGGTATCCTGGTCTGACGTCAAACAAGATGGGCGCCTTACCTAAAAATAGTTTGCATCATTTCTACTTTTAATCGCATGTGTCTATAAGAACAAGGTTCGTTATTGCCGTGGAGTACAAATTACAAAACATGATGTGGAAATGATAGAGTAGATATAAATCTAGGCTATCTTGTTCAGTGAACTCTTGAAACCTTTCGTATCTTGTTCCCCAGCCGCCGACTGGCTACTGGCTGGCTGGACTTGCTCAGTGCTCACTGCTCACAACTTTCGCTCTCTCATCGATGTGAAACAATCAGTGCAATTACCGGAAGGTTAAATTTTCGTTAATGTCTCCATAGGCCTAGTTCCAGGGTATGGTTAGCCTACCTTCTTTTTACCCTATTACAGAGAGATGTACCTTGTAAGGATTATATCAATAATAAATACTAAATATTTTTAAAAAAAGATGAAAATGATTTTTACAAATAAAAAAACAAAACAAGAACAAGAAAGCCCGAATATGTTTTTGGTGATGGATTGGTAAGTGGTAACAGAGACACTAAAATATAGAGACAGGAAACGAGGCCTCGCGTTCCGTGACAACAGTGCATTTGCGAACGTGACCGCTGAGACGCGAGCTAAAAATAACCAGGCGCGGTATCGACAGCGAAGCGCGTCGCGTCTAGCCTAGGCCTAGTGAGGCCTAGGCCTTATCGAAACGAAGCGCGTCGCGTCTAGCGGGGCCTAGGCCTAGCGCAATCAGAGAACTGGCCAAGGTTGCATTTGTAAACAATGCCTCTACAATCTATACTCTTCTGGCCTACAGAAAAATTTACACATGTTGATGAAAACAGGACAACAGATTTTAAAATTGAATTCTAGATCTAGGCCAAGTTATAAAATAATGTCGATCTAGCATAAAACCAAAACATGTCTTGATAATGTAGACCGAAAACGAGATATAGAATCTACATCTAGAGATCTAATTATCTAGTCGACAGTGTCAGTAGTTACATAAGAAAAAAAGTCATCTAGACTCTAGATCTAGATTCTAGATCTATAAGTTTCCAGCATAGATCTAATAAAAATATGCCTGCCTTAGCCTAAATACACGCGTTGATCTAGATATCCAGCTTACAACATAAGCAGTTTAATAGATAGCCTAATAAAGGTTAATACATTTTTACTTATTTTACTAATTAGTTACATAGCCCTGCATGGGGTCTGTGGGTAGGGAAGAGTTGGAGAGGAAAGAAAGAGAGCATGCAATAGCATATAGATCTATGCCTATAGGCAATGATGAGAAAAGGCAACAGACTGTAGAAATAGAAAACAGATTTCGTTTTGTGTAGCCTACGCTAGGCATATATGGATAAAAACAGGAATACAAAGTGACAGATCGAACTCACCAGAGGCCTATATATTAATATATATATATATGTGTGTGTGTGTGTGTGTGTGTGTGTGTGTGTGTGTGTGTGTGTGTGTGTGTGTGTGTGTGTGTGTGTGTGTGTGTGTGTGTGTGTGTGTGTGTATACATAAACATGTATAATGAATCTTTCGTGGATTAATAGCATTTTACTGAAACTGGCTCTTACAATTAAGTGGGTGAATGTGACAGTCTTTCTTAGACTGTTTTGCTGTATGCATTGTCTCTTGCTGATTCTTTTGTATATTATGTCCATACTTCTCTGTCAGGCACATAAATTTGGGACATAACAAAATTCAAGGGTGGTCCTGACAGGGTCAAGCTAGCACTTTCTTACTTAATAATAATTAAGTAAGCTTTGTAATTTCTTTGTCTCTTTAATTTTGTTACATTATTCCGTAGTACATTTATTACAGCAGGACATTGTCTTCTTAGATGTCAAGGTTGTTTTTTTTCTTCCACTTTTAATTTCTTCTTCAAAACTCTCACATCACATTGCAGACACTATTAGAGCTTGAATTTTTTTTAAAATTAAATGCTAAATATGTTTCACTACTCTATCTAGTCAGTTCTGCAGAGGTGGAGTCAAAGCGCCACATAGCCTACAGATGCAGTCTCAGGTCTACAGTGTGAGTGAGCGTGTGTGTGTGTGTGTGTGTGTGTGTGTGTGTGTGTGTGTTGGGGGTCCCCCCCCCCCCCAAATCAATATGAAGGCGATGATAATGTAATTTTTAACTTTTTAAAAATGGAACTATCAGTCTCAAACTGATGAAGAAATAAAGGGGAACTCAGTGCTGGGTGATCCCCAAAAATTCTTTCAGATCACTTGAAACACTTTTTTTTGCGTGTTTTCTTTTCTTTTTTTTTTAGGAGGGGGGGGGGGGGGGGGGGCTTTACTGCGCCTGCGACAGCATAGGTCTCATATGAACAGGCGGGGCACATTAAACTAATTTTCAGTTTGGTAAGAATTTTATTTTTGCCCAGGGGGGGCGCAAACCTATGCCTCCCCCTTTTTAATTGTAAAAAACAAAGAACACTTTATTCTGCCACCTTTGGGGGCCTCCCGGTTTTTTTTCCCCTCCTTCACAAAAACTTTTGTTTTGTTCTTCCTCCTCATAAGATCAGGTGACTGAAAGACACCAGTCTAATAGAAAGGGCCAAGAGGGGCCAGTAGTCAAAATTTGGTTTCTTTTTTTTTTAAAGGCTGCAGAAAGAGCCAGGAGCCCCAGATGCGCCAGAGGGTTTTTTTTCCCCCCCCTTTTTTTTGGGGGGGGGGGGGGGGGGGGCAGAAAGTGAGGAGGAAAAACAGACGACAGAACTTAGAGCTGGGAGGTGAAAAGAGAAAACTTTAGAGAAGAAAAATGTCTGTCCCAGTCATGTTTCAAACCTATTGAATGAGAGGCAAACACTATAACCCAGGCTCTAAACTCTATAGACCACGATCAGAGCCCCCAGAAAAACGTGTTTTATTCGCTAGCTATAGATCTAGATCTAGATCTAGTAAGGTTTAACAATGTTTCGTCCTCCTGCCCATGCACTGGCATGACGTGACGAACTAGGCTAATCGACTGCACTGTCGCCTGTGCTGTGAAGAAGTAGAGAAGGAGTGTAGTGGAGGCAAACATTATACATGTAATAGGTCTATGCTATGATAATAAGGCCCAAGGGTAGATCTAGATCAATCTAGATCTAGATCTGGTCCTAGTAGACCCACTGCATTAATTAAGCCCTTACTTCTAGACCTAGACTCTAGATCTAGACCTAGATCTAGATTTAGTACTAATTGACCTGGACACTGATACTAGATCTAGATCTACAATCTATTATCTAATTTAGATCTAGAGATCTAGATCTAGATCTAGATATCTATATCTATATCTATATCTAGAATCTATATCTAGATCTAGATATAGATATCTATATCTCTAGGATTCTAGGTCTAGAGTAGGTATTCTAGATCTTGTCTAGATCTAGATTCTAGATCTAGACTCTAGATGTAGATGTAGATCTAGATCTCTAGATCTAGTTAGGCCTACACAAGAGAAAAACGATATTATGTAAGGTTAATGGAAAAGTACATGTGCAAATTCTTACATTTCAGGGTCCTTTGGAAAGCTAACTAATGCTAGGTCTGGTATTTATGCGATCTTGAATTGGCACGGACGCAGACTGCCGCAAAACACCACTTACACTTGCGGGTGACTTGCGACTGCCGACAGCCGCCATTAGCTTTGTTTACCGCGCCTCGTTTCACAATCAGCTGGTGACCTGGATACGCGAAAAGAGGCTTCGTTTCCGCTCTCTATAATTAAATACTCTCTGGTGGTAATCTGTAGTAAGTTAGTCCCCTTCCTTTGTCTACTTCCGGTAGAACCTTTGGTTTTGTTTACGTCTATCAACCTGTCCTGGAGGAGTTTCAGTTTTAGAGACAAAAAAATGAGCGACTAGATTTAGAATCTATAGATCTACTCTCACAAAAGCGTGTTCAAAAGCAAGGGGCGAGTTGGGCGCTTGAGGCATAAAATAACCTGTTTGCTTTTGAATCAGTTGAATGCATAGAAGTTGAAAGCCTAGAGATCTAGATCAACATAGAAAGGTAAGGCAGTTGAGTAAGTAAGGCCTGAGAAGGAAAAAAACTCAGCATCAGTGACCGAGTGTTTGGATTTGGAGGATAATGGATGGCTAGATCTAGATCTAGAGATCTAGATATAGATCTAGATTTCTAGATGTAGTTACTGTAGGAAGACTAGCAGGTAGCTAGAGAATGACAACTTAACGCCTTTCGCCGATATTTATAGTAGGCCACCTCTATTCTCACCCCGGGTGAGAATAGCGCAGGCGAGTCTTTTGGCTATTCTCACCCGGTGGGCGTTCACCGTTATAGCCTAGGCCAACCAGTGAAGCGTGTTAGCCTAAAAGCGTGCAATTTTGTTAGGGGGCAGTGGAGAGAGAGAAAGAGAGAGGAGAAGCGCGAGAACTTCTGGGCAAAACAAAATGGCGACCTGCGTAGTTCAGCTCGATTCGGAAAGTTAAATAGCCGTAGCATCTTTGTAGACAACCAGGTTAATTTAGTTTTCTTGTTTAAAATAATTTTTTAACTTTGTTTTGGTCAATTTGATCGTCCACACCGATAGACAGTATTCAGAAAGAGAGAGAGAGAGAGGGGAGGAGTAGATCTTGCGAGAACTTCCGGGCAAAACAAAATGGTGACCCGCGTAGTTCGGCTCGATTCGAAAAGGGAAATAGCCATAGCATCTTTGAAGACGATGAAATTAGCTTACTTTTGTGCTATAACGTAATTTTTTCTTGGCTTTTATCAATTTGATCATCCACAACGATAGACAGTTTTCCAAAATGAGGAAAAATAGATCTTGTTTCACACCGGGTGAGAATAGCCTACGCTGGTAAGTCTCACCCGTGGTGAGAGGTCGATCGTATTTCTATTCTCACCCCGGGTGAGAATAGCCACTTCCGGTGAGAATAGTGCAGGCGAGTCTTTTGGCTATTCTCACCCGGTGCGCGTTCTCCGTTATAGCCTAGATCTAGGCCAATCAATTTTTCATTCACCCTAAACCACAGAATTCTGCACTGCGATAACAGAAAAATTGTGCCGTGAACAAACGTTCCATTACTACTGTTAGTGTTAGCCTACTAAAAGCGTACAATTTTTTCTGTGGGCAGTGGAGAGAGAGAAAGAGAGAGGAGGAGTAGCGCGAGAACTTCCGGGCAAAACAAAATGGCGACCTGCGTAGTTTGGCTCGATACGAAAAGTTAAATAGCCGTCGCATCTTTGTAGACGACCAAATTAATTTACTTTTGTGTTTTACCATCATTTCTTAGCTTTGTTTTGGTCAATTTGATCGTCCACACCGATAGACAGTATTCAGAAAGAGACAGAGAGAGAGAAAAGGGGAGGAGTAGATCTTGCGAGAAGTTCCAGGCAAAACAAAATGGCGACCCCCGTAGTTCGGCTCGATTCGAAAAGTGAAATAGCCATAGCATCTTTGTAGTCGATAAAATTCGCTTACTTATGTGCTATAACGTAATCTTTTCTTTGCCTTTATCCATTTGATCATCCACATTGATAGAAAGTATTCCGAAATTAGGAAAAACAGGTCTTGTTTCACACCGGGTGAGAATAGCCAACGGTGGCAAGTCTCACCCGGGGTGAGAGGTTGATCGTATTTCTATTCTCACCCGTGAGAATAGCCACTTCCTTTATAGTAACAGCCATCTTGTTTGACGTCATTGAGGGAATTCCCACTTTGTCGGTCATGGTGGCAACACGACCGCACGACGGCAGCCTGCTGACTCGAATTAGATCTATTTTATGGGCTCTTCGGAAATTGCCTTCCCGCTTGTTTACATATGAAGAAACAAGAAGTTATTGCTAAGGACAAAAGTGGCCATGTAGGCTAAGTGAACTTGCAGAACTTTTCGGTTCGATTGTCTGTGATTGTTGCTGCACCCTTCTTCTGCACAGATTGATTCTGATGATGTACACTATGTAAACTGAAAAGAAGAAGAAGACTTAAGCCTAGATCAACGTCAATTTTGATATGAAAGCAAGCTCAAACAAAGTTCAACAACGCTGTTCAAATGATCGACCGTTTCCATCCAGTTCGTTTCTTAAATAAAGTTTTGTAAGCAGCACAAGAAATTTTTAAAGCACGTACGAGAGATTGGACTTGAAATAGGATGCTGATCTGCAAATGGAGTGGAACTAGATCTAGATCTATTAAGGAACTTGGAGACTGCCAGTGCAAACCACGCACTACGCAAAATCATCACTTTTTTAAAGAATTAGAATCACAATCAAATGACGCGGCAGGCATCCCCCTTGCGAGGTCAAACCAAAAGATAGAATCTTTGGTCGAACGGGTCAAACAAGATAGCTGTTACTATAAATATTGGCCAATGGCATCTTAGCTGTCGTTCTCTATTGGCTTGTCTGTAGGAAGTCCTAAGGCAAATAATAGGCTAATTATTATAAAATAGGGTAAAGTCGAACCTGCCTTTTAAACATAAACCTTTATAAAACCTGTCTAAACAGAATTTCCCCGCTCCCCCCTTGATGTATTCCTTTTTAATAACCTGTATAAAACGGAAACCTGTCCAACATGGAAATGGAAAGAAAAATCCGCTCCCTTCCAACCGAGGGTTTTAATGCATTGCCCACTCTGACCTGATTTGAAACAGAAGTCGCAACTTTGGTTCCGCCGGTTCTAAGCTTAAAGGCCAAGCCACTGGGCAAGGAAGGGGAGTAGGGGTGCAATTTGGGGGTAGATGTTACCCTATCTATGTGAGCCCTGAGCAATGCAGAGCAGATGTTCAGGTTGGTGTGGGTGTGAAATCTCACGAGTGCCAGTGAAAGTGCTCGAGTAGCGAGCCACCACGGAAACTTTTCCTGGGTAGCCAGAGGTGTGAAATTAGTTTGACCTATGCCTGCTTCTCTGATCGTACGGCCGGCCGAGAACAGAGTTCCTTGAATTGTTGTTTAAACATGCTTGTGAGGGGTGGCATTGGTTGACTGTGCTTGTTACACCCAAACAGTGGTCCTATAAAATGCAAGTACTGGTAGTAATTAGAAGACTGACGCATGTCATTATCATAGAGGTTAGCATCTGAGAGGTGGGAAGTTTTGACCACTGTTTGCCTTACCGGACAAGTAACCCTAGATCCCACCGAAGGAGCCTTTGAAACCCCCCCTATATCTCCCCCTTATATTTCCCGTATCTAAAACAGAAAATGTCTTTGACGGAATTATGACTCCCTTGCGATTCTGTCTTACACAGGTTCGACTTTACTTTACTTAACTTACTTTCAGTTACCCGCCTGTACATTTTTTGGGTAAAAGATAGAAAATTAAATCACTTAACTTTACTTAAATGAGGGCCTTTGATATTTGGAACTGATTTGGTGTAAAGATACATTTTTTCTTTCACTCTCACACTCAGATGCACTGCTTTGAGGGTCAAAGGATTATTTGCTGCAGATCACACACAGCCACAAAAAACTGTCGCATCAATTATTTTCCAGAAAATTTCAAAACTAACTGCAAAACATTAGATCGGATTTGCATAAAATCCTTTTTTTTTGGTTTTGAATTCCCTTTTCATCGGTTGTTTGCAACTTATCGTTATTGACATGAAAATACATATATATTTTTATTTGCATTTACTCACACACTCTAGTTTTGGAAGCCACCAAACTTTGGTGGCCATTTTCTTACTTAGATTTACCTCTGACACCAGGCAACCCCCATCTCTTTCAGTCTCAAATACCTTGACTTCTATTCCAGGGAAATAGATATTTTTTTCTGTGAAAGTAAGACAAATAAACATGCTCAAACTTTAAGACTCTCCCACAATATCTCCATGTGCCCAAAATTGATGAATGCCTGTTTCCACAATGCCACGCCACGCCACATACGGGTGGGTTTTTTTTTGGTGGTAATGCCCTGCAAATACAGCTATGAATACATTTTTGGGCTTTGTGTCAGATTTTTTCTGAGTATGTTTCTACTTAAAATTTTTACATTTTTGCTTTGAGATCTCTTTTTACATTTTAAAATGAACTGTGCCGCAAAGTTGTCTATAATGGATATTCTACTCTACTTAAATGCAAAGAAATGGACAAAGCCTACTTTGTCTCATTTGTCTTAATTTTTTATCTCTTTTACTTTTGAATGGGTACTTACTATCTTACTTTCTGAGCTTAAAAGTTGTCCTTTTTAAATTTTTCCACAGGCTTATCTTAGAGGAGCTCCTAAAAGGATTAAGATATGAGAAAGTCTTACTGTAATTTGGAATTCGGATGAACCTCGGCTAAAATGGCAGGTGCAGGTGAAATCATAATCAGCAATGCTAGTGGCCTTTCATTTAGGCTACAGAGTCTTTACCAAAGTGGTGACATGTGTGATATTCAAATAAATGTAGGGAAAAAAACATTTCAAGCCCACAAACTTATCCTGTGTGCTAGCAGTGATGTTTTTAAAACAATGCTGACCAGTGTGAGATGGACTGAGGCTAACAAGCAGTCCATCGTCCTCGTAGAAGACCGTTCCTGTGAAACTATTTTTGACAGGTTCCTTCACTATATCTATTCTGGAGAACTATTTGTGTCTCATGCCACTGTTGGTCCACTATTTATTTTAGCTGACAAGTACAATATCCGGGACTTGATTCCATTATGTCGGAGGTATATGCTTGAAAACTTGGATGCTCCCGTGGATGATCTCAGTGTATTGCAGTGGTGGCAGATTGCTAATTTGCACAGAGACTTTGAACTGCAAGAAAAGACGCTCAGCTATATTGAACTGAATTTTAGCAAAGTTATCCAGACCACAGACTTTTTAAATGCAAATGTGCACACACTCAACATCCTTTTGTCCAGCTCTAGGATTGTTATTCCTAACGAACTCATGTTATTTTATGGTCTGAAGCACTGGCTAGAGGCCTACATTGAATGTAGCTGTTCATCTCTCACAGTGAGAGAACTAAAGAAAGTTTTTAAGGAGTTGACACGTCATATTCGGTGGCCGATGATGACGAAGGATGAATTAGAGTGGCTTCAGGAAGACTCTGATATGCAGCAGTTCATAGCCACTTACAGGAACTTTATGTATCTCCCAAGTCCTGAAGATTTAGAACTAGATTCAACAGATGAACCTGGCATTTCTGATCCATGGTGCTTTGTTGCTGAGTTTACAGACAGGCATTGCTTGAATGTCGAGCCTCGATGTTCTGCTTCTCCTAAGAGTGACTTGAAGAAAAGGAAACCCAGGAAGATTGACAACGGCATCTGTGACAAAAACAGAAGCGCTGCCTCAAGAGTATATCTCAGTGACCATTGGAGTTCATCGCTAACTGTGTCTGACTTTGCTGCTTTTCCACGCTACGGCACCCGTACATTCTTCTTTTCTACACCACGGACTGGATTCAGGAGAGACACTAGTACCCTGGATTGGGAGGTTTGTCTAATTTCTCTTTAAAGCAATGCTTTTTTGTGATCACAAGTCTATATATATTATTGAATTTTGAAATGAGCCAGTGATTTATAAATTGTACAAACTCCACTTCCAGATTTGATGCATCTTTTTCCATAGAGCTAAAATTGGAGATGTAGCTCATTTTGTTACAATGCCTCACGATTTATAATATATAATAGACAGCCAAAGATCTTGTCTATATGTTAGTGTTTTAGCACCTATCAATGGCCGCTTGCGCTGTATGCCTCCCAGGAAGTTGAGGTTGTTTTAGAATACTCTCAGGTCTGCTGGGGTAATAGTATAGATTGTGAAGTGCATAGAGCTTGCTGTTGAACGGGGATTTGCGCTATACACATGCTACCTATTATTAATTATTATCATAATATTGCTCAATCGGAACCCATCGGGCCACCAGGTTTTCTTCGGTTAAGCCACGTTTTCAGTTCAGAGAGATTACTCAAACAGAAGACAAAAAAGTCGGAGATTTAATTTTCTTTTGGTTTGCTTTTTTGGGGATAAACCATGTTCAATTTAACAAGACTCCACTTTATATACAGTTAACTCTGAGAGCACTAATATTACAGAGAATTTGTTTGTGTTAATCAGATTTTGTATTGAGCAGAGTCCTTAGGAAAAGAACAAAGAAGGGGAGGTGACTCCTTTCTCTTTGTTGCAGCCAGAGCTGAGGAGATCACAAGCTAAACCTTGTGTAACCTATTTTAGATTACTTCTAGTGCGAAGGTCTCTTTGCAACTTTCAGTATTTCTCAAAAAATCATTTTGACAGACTGCTATGCGAAGTGTACGGATCAGATTAACGAGTACATTTCCTCTTTGGAAAGTGGTGGCACAGAGTTCCCCACGTCGTATGGATACGATTGTAAGACACGACGTACGGATAGGGTTAACAATGTTCTGTCGTCTGCTTTTGTCTCCTCTTTCTACCCTCACCCTCTCACCTCCTTTGCCCCCTCCTCTGGGCTCCTGACTCTTTCTGCAGCCTTTTTACTTCTACTCCTTGGCTCCTTCTTACTGCTGTCTTTCAGCCCCAGCCCTGATCTTCTGTTAAGAAAGATTTACACCAAGCCTTCTCGGACAAGGGTGAAAAATCTTGGAGGTCCTGTGTGCAAGTTGCACAAGTTAAAGATCCCTTGGTGGTCTAAAATGAATAAGAGTAGGCTCCAGCCGCCACTCGCACAAAATTCAAAATTTCCTACCAACTGAAAATGTTAAATGTGTCCCGCACGCTCATATGAGTTTATGCAGTTGCGAGCGCCGTATAACACTTACCGACCCCCCCCCCCCAACATGGAACAAAATACAACCCCAGAATGTGGTTAAAGGGAGGTTGTTGCTGTTCACTTGATGGTTATCCATGCTACTACTTCGTTTTAAAAACAAAATACAAATGATAAAAAATGGAACTGATAAATCATAGCTGCTCATTATAATGATAATTTGAAAATTATAAAACGGGACGTTCCCATAAGATTAAAAGGACAGCTGACAGCTTCCCGATGTCTCGTCTCGAATTTTCTTTCCCACTCATTTTCCATGTGTCGCAAGTGGTGAAAGAGTGGCTTTGCTTTGCGAGACAGAATCATCATAACCTATCGCATGTGTGTTGTGTAGCATGCAACTGTGAGTGAGGAAAAAAAAAGGAATGGGGGAGAGTTACCGAGGAGGTTTGATCTTCTTCTTCTCAATCGCATCACACTTGGTAGTCTGGTATCTATCATACAATGGGCTGTCATGCTTAATGGGAGGTTTGAAGAAATGGCTGAAAATTCAATTGTAATGATATCTGCTGGAATTTTGATCGTGTTAAAGGAAGTTACATTGCAATCATACTGTCTAAGAGGGCTACCTGTGTAAGATGTCCACTTTTTCCCCTGACACTGGTTGGTCATCTTTGATTTTATTTATATCTTCGTCATCATCATTGCCTTTCTCATCCTGCACCAGAGAAAGGCCACTGACAAATACTTTCTACCTTTCTCTATTCTGGGATAGCCTCTTGATGTTAATCCATATCTTCCCATTTTTCTGTACATCAGTTTCTGTGATTCTTCTCCACGTTCCACATGGTCTTCTTCTTGATCTTTTACCCTATGGATGACAATCCAACATTTTCTTTGTTATGCAACTGCCTGACTACCTGAGAGTATGTCCCTTCCTTCTCCCCTGCCTTCTTTCTTCCTAATCTCTCTCTGGGATCTGTCTTGTTTTTATTTATATACTTATTTATATACCTACAGTCAAAATTTTCTAAGACGGCCACCCATTGTGGAGGAATTAAGTATACATCTTGTCCAGTGTCATTATAATGTAGGAAAAAAAAAAACCCACAAGGGGGGAGGGGGGAGTGGTCTTTCATTTAGGTGATTATATTGGTCAGACAGCCATAATAGCAGGTTTAACTGTAACCGGTCGAAATTGTCTAAGATGGCCACCCCTTGTTAAAGCGAAAAGTGGCTGTCGTAGACAGATTATTAGTGATGTTAGAGCAGGCCTGATTGTACACATGTGTATGCACATGCAGAGTTTATTTAATTTTTATACACTTGATTTCCATTTTACTTTCTTATCTCTGAATACTGTATGATTAAGATTAAAGAGTTGTTCTTTCTTTTTGTTACAGTACTGCTTGTTCGTGAGGTTTTTTTGTGCTGTTTTGTTTCTGAGTTTTTTGTTTTCCTCAAAGTAAGTTTTACTGGTTGACTGGTTCACTTTACATTGATTTGTTTGTTTTTATGAAAGATATAGTTCTTTTCTATGAAAGTTACAGTTCTGTTTTGAATGCTCTATAATATTTCAGGTAGAAGTTCACCCCAAAGGAGTGCATTTCCAGCCTGCTATTCTCATTGGCTTGGAACGAGATGGCAACAAAGTGGTGGATGAGACTTTCGTCAACACTGTGAGAGTATCTGTTATGTCAAGGTCACCAGCAGAACTTCCCGTGAAGGTGAGTTCAAAATACTGTACAGAAGTCACTCTTCCCAGTACAAATTTTAAGAGTACAGTGAACATGAAACTTGACTGCTTGTCAGTCAAGAGATGGTTGTACGTTTTATGCAGATAAAACAGCTATGTAGGTAAAAATCAACTGAACTGTGAGATAAAAATTTAACAGTCAACTGCTCACTCAGCTCTAGCAGGGATATGCAGACGAAGAAGAAGAAAAAAAATACTATTCTTTTACCTTCAGAGGTTATTTTCAAGCTGTATGCCGCAATGACAAGAATTGAATTGATACACAGTCGAAATTCTCTGAGAAGATGGCCTCCCATTATCGAGGAGAAAATAGGCCATCTTAGACAGGTGGACAACTTATACATTGTCATTTTAATTGAAACCCCCCCCCCCCCCCCCCCCCAGAAAACTCAAGGGGGATAATGGGAAGTGGTCGTTTGTACAGGTATTTGTCTGGCGCTCATATGACCTTATGCAGTTGCAAGCCCAGTAAAACCTCTACTAAAACAAACAGGTAATTGTCTTCTCATACAGGTAGAGCAACATCAACTGAATATGTGTTTCATTGTGGTAAAATAAGGGGCTCGTCAAAATAAGGAAGTCGAAAAAACCAACATTTTTCTACCTGTTAGAAGGCAATTTTTATCGAATTTTTATTACGGGTTCTGCATCTTTTTATATCCATTTAGAAGTACATTTCTATGGGGATTTTACTGAAAAACGTTGATCAAAGGCACAAAATTTGTAAATTTGGCGTTTCCTAGGGTACTTAAGCTTTGAAAAGACTTTGGCAACCATTTTCTTGCTAATTTTAAGTTGACTTTAAATTACCTCCACCTCCTTCAATCTCTAATATTTTGACTTCTATTCAGGATAGATAGGTACTTTTTTTCATCAAAAGATTATATCAACAAAACTATATATATATGCAAAGAATACTGACGAGCTCCTGATTCCACCATGAAGTGATATGTGTTTGCGTGTACGTGTGTGTGTGTGTGTGTGTGTGTGTGTGTGTGTGTGTGTGTGTGCGCGTGCGCCAAAGAGGTTATATTTAGTACTAGAGTTCATGGCAGTGATGTCCTCCATGTAAATGAACGGGAGCTGAGTGTGCCCACCCTGGGATGCCTGACTCTCATGGAGGTATCTCGGCGGTCTAAGGAGGAAGTCTACAAGCTTGCACTAAAATATGGAGTCTTGGAAGTGTTAGAGCTCGTGCGGAGTTGGATGAGGGTTCAGATTTGTAAATGGGGGTGTGCCGGCCATGCCTATAAGTCGTGGAAGGCCCCCATGTCTGACACGTGTGATGTCACCTCCGTGAGCTCTAGTTCTATTGGTAACCTCTTTGGTGCGCTTGCATCTCTACATGATGGAGTCAGGCGCTGGTCAGTTTTTGGATATATGGAGTTACAGGTGTCATCTCAAAGTTCAGTTGTCTTGCTTGCAATTTGTGTTAGAGTTAGAAATGATTAAAAGTGTTTGAAGCTGTTTAATGATATAGTAAAATTTATTTTGTGGCTAATATAGGTTTGCCAAAGTTTGTTTTACAATTATGAATAACTTAATTGGAACAGAGATGCTACCTTTTTATTTTGTTCAGGTCTGTCCTGAATTGCTGAAGCTCGAATTAAAGCACAGACTTTTTCTTTTTCCAGCGCATTCATGAAATGTCTTTAATTTAGCCTGGGTCTTTTTTTGTTTCTAACTTGACCTTATTTTATGTGTTTCTTCTCGTCAAATCTTCAGGTCGAGGTGAATATTCTTGTGCAAGCATCGTCTCCTTCAAATCCTGATTGCTTATACATAGAACGGTGTCGCCGTCAGGTGTGCATTTTTGACTCTAGCTCCTCACGCCACAATCTGGATGACATCGTTCCCCAGGAAAACATGGGAGTCTACCTCCAGCCAGATGTGCACTTTCCTGGACTCGCCGTCTCTCCTACTCTGGCTTTTAGTCTGGGCATAGTGATAAGGCCCATAGACTGATAATCTCACAGAGGCGGTTTGTTGTGAGAGAAGGGGTTTTCGTCAAATGAAAGTTTCCCTTTTTGATATTGTGTGAATACTCACATGTTACAGGCTAACACCATAGAATAGTTTGGGTCACTTTATAGCTTTTTTGTTCAAATGTAATATCCTAGGAAAAAGTGACACCTTTTCTACATGCAGAATGAGTTACTTTTCTTTTGTCTTTGTTGTATTGAGAGCTTACCTCTTTCTTTTAAAGAATTTCCCCTTTCTTTTGCAGGGAATGAATAAGAACAAATATGCTCAATGACTGAGACAATGATTTTTTAGAATCGCCTTCAGAGGTTCAGTGAACAGAAACAGTCTCTGAGTTTTCAGTCCTTTCTTTCTTTTATGCTAGTTCTGTTGCCCTCATGGTGCCAACTCTTTTTCTCATCTTTGAAGGTTTATGGTTTTTACTTTTCTGCTGTCTTGTTCTAAAAGCATGAAGAGATTTAAGCTCTATAATTACAATCAAAGTATTTTATCATTCATTAGGGGCCTATGTACTAGTGCAAGCAAAAATAAGTATTGGTTGGCCTCACTGTGACTTATAATTTACTGAAATACCTGTTATTGTTATCACCATTTCAGTATTAATATTATATTGTTCCTTGATTGCTCAACTTTTGTTATTTTCGCCTCATGTTACTGTTAGTGAAATCTAACGTTAATATGTTCATTTTATCAATTTTTGGCATGTGAAATGTGTTTGCATCATGAAGAAAAATGGCCAGACTAGCTTTAGGCTTATGATCTTGGGTCTATGTCTGGTATCTGAATATTTTTTGTCTAATGAATAAAACCTCAAGTACAATAGTCTTATCTTGAATGCACGCCATACAAAGGCATGCTCCATTCAAGCTCATGCTTTCGTCGTATGCTTTTTAAAAAACTATATGGGACCTACAATTGCAGTCACTTCCTCGTAACACACTTCGATCCGTGAAAGATGCCGACAGGTAAAGCTTGACTAAGGAAATTTTTGCTACATCCTACACAGCTTGCGTTAGACAAGTCTAGACAATCAGAAATTTGGTGAGACTGCCCCCACGCAGAACAAAGAGAGTGATAGAGAATGTCAACCCACCCAACTTGTCCACGGACACGTCTAGGTCTAGGACTGGGTGGATGATATGTTTGAGGGAGGTGGGGGGAGGGGTATTACTGAAACGTCTTTTGATTGGCCACTTGAAATGCATCCTTGAGAGAAGTATGTTTCCCACTGGTGTTTAGGTGATGGTAATGTTTAATTAGACCTATGAATATGATGTGAAAAACTTGTAAATGCTGTAGAACACTAGATAGGCCTATAGCAGATACATCAATTGATCAGCTACTGTGTTGGCAGAACTTATAATGTATTTGTTCAACGAAGCACTGGAGAAAAGTCTCTCAGAATGTCTGATGTCAACAATGCATCTGCCGAGTTACAATAGATGACAGGTAGTCGGGAATGATAGCTTAAAAAGCAGTGTGGCTGAGCACTCTTCCCTATGACTGTCACCAACAGTTTCCTCTCATCTGTTCCTGACAGGTTAGTGCACATCAGTACAGTGAGTTGGTCTCTGCTTTTTTCCTACTCTTATCCAACGCCTTTTATAGTCATAACCGCGATAGGGGAATCATTTTATGAAATAATCCTGTTTCATCACATTATCGGCGAGATCGACCCCCCAACCAGAGAGATCACTAAAATATCAAAGAAATGAAATGGTTGTATCCCTTTTCCCCTTTGCAAAGGTTCACGTAAACGCACGCCCCGTGTTAACACACATCTAGGGGCCCTCCCGAGCACTGTTCGTTTAGGCGGAGACTACTGTACTGATATATTACATAACTTGCATTGTTTCCTTTCCTTTGTTCGAACATACTGATTGCTGCTGCACAGATGATGGATTAGTTAGACCAACTGTTATAGGTTGGAAGTTTGTGTCCTCTGGCCTTGTGGGCTCAACATTCTTCTTTTTGATTTCTAGAATCCTTTCTCTTCAGCCCATTGCCAATTGTAGGCATCACGTATTTCACCTTTGAAATGCCTTGTTCTGTGTCTAATATAGCTTTGCGCTACAACAAAAGACCAGGTTACAGCCGGAGTCTAGATGAAACTTAATTCTTCTTTCACTTATACTTCTAGTTTTGATGTTACTTTGTCCATAAGCTATGGGGTCTATTACATGTTCAGTTAAAACTCACAGCTGTCTGTCCCATTTATGATAATAAAATGATACATAATGTAATCTCGACAAAAATACTTCTTTTTTGTTGTTGTGATCTTCAAAATCCAACAAGAAAAAGAGTCAACTGCGAGTCATTTTGTTATTTTTGATAGCTGATTCCGAATTTAATATTATTTTTGCTTCAATCAAAAAGTTTACAAATGAAAATTTTATCACCAGGGAGCTGCAGACGTGACAGACTGTCTGACTGGCCGAGCTTAACAAAAGGTCTGGCATTGGGGCTGTCTGCATCCCGCTGGTGATAAAATGCTTTTTTGTAAACGTTTTGAAAATTAAGTCTTCTCGTAAAAATAATGTCAAATTTGTAATCAGCTAATAAAACTAACAAAATGACTCGCAGATTACTTTTTTTCCTGCTGGGTTTTGAAGATCACAAAAAAAGAAGTAATTTTGTTGAGATTGCATCATGTGTCATTTTCTTATCATAAAGAGGACGGACAACTCTCTGTTTTAACTGAACATGTAATACAAGCTTATCAGTGGCTGTACAATGTGTCATGTTCATATTTCAGATTTTATTGCCTGTATTTCCTGTTCGATAACAACAATAACATGGCCTGTACTGATATGGTAAATTTTAGATATATAAATGTATATATATATATATAGCTTTGCTCATTGTGTCAGTGACAACTGATGAAAATTATAGCTTTTTGTCATAATTTTGTTGTTGTTGAGTTCTCCATTGTCTCTTGAACTGCAGCATACCATGTGATATTTCATTTAAAAGCATTATTTTATGGATTTACTTTCTGTTTCAAGACTTTCTGATATTTCCATGAATATGAGTGGATATCACAGCAGAAAAGAAAGCTTGTACATCTATTTGTAAATGTCCACACTTAGTTAAGTTTGGTTGTGGGCTTATAAATTATCAATATTTCAACTTGTTTAATGTACCTATGAGTGTTGTGAAAGAATTTACCAATTGGTTGTCCTAATGAGTTCAGTAATTGCTGTGATAAAGCTATGCAAAGACAGGGTTTCACTTGCACTTGTAGCTGTATTTAATTTTTTTTGGTGATGTTTTTCTTTTTAGTGCAGTGGTGTCTGTGAATTTCCCTCTTGTTGCAATTTTTGTTTTACTCCCTAATTCATTCTTTGCTGAGTGCTACAGTTGTTAACTCCCCTCCATTACGACATTGAGCCAGGTTGAGGTGTAAAGTAGTTTTAAAAAATTTTGTTTTATGTATAGTTCAGTGGCGGTGGGTAGTGAAGGGCTTACGGGCTTGAGCCCCTCACTCCTACCCTACCCCCCCCCCCCCAACTCTGTCACTTAGTTAATGAAAGTTTTTTAAATAACGAAATAAGCAGTTGAAACCGTTATGGTCGCATGCAATGAACACACAGTCATCAGCTTGGCGGCTTGCCCGTTTATCCAATCATTGCTGTCACCGCTTACAACTATAGTAACCTAACAGCCAATCAAATGTCCTTAGGGCTCAGAAAGAATAAGCCGGTTCCCACGACTGTCTGTAATGAAACTCTTCTTGTAAAAAGGTAGAAGACTTAAAAAAACACTGCACACAGGGCTCACGCTCTCCCAGCCCTGACAATGGGGTGAAAGTTTACGACACACTTTCCCCCAGTGACACAGTTACCTATGCGCCCATTGGACCTTTGTTAGGCGCGTTCTATTTCCGCAACAACACGACCCAATCCATCTCATAGACGGTATGTGTTTGGAGTGCTGTGTGTTTGTGCCTCTGAAATTTACAGTTATTAATTACATCAAACCACTTTTGAGGCAACTTTTTCTTCAGATAAAAACTAATTAGAGAAATTTGGAAGTGAAACGGCTTCGTCCACATCATCCAGAAGAGCTTAAATTTAACTAAGAACAAAGAGATGGAAGACAAAGGTGACTCTTCTCGTTTGAATGGTTCTCAAAATGCCGTGGCTCGCCATGAGTATAGAAAAATCATCACTGTTTTGTTCTTACTGCTTGCTTTTTGGTGGTAAAGAAGTGGAAGAAACCTAAGCCCCACCCAAATCTTGGTCCACCCACCGCCACTGGTATAGTTAACTATTTTGTCAAAGTATTCCATGTGAATTCAAAGAGTTAAGTTTGCCTTGTTTATTTATCTGTACATAGGACGTTTTTGTTCCCTGGGACAATGTTATAAAATGCTTTTCCAAACTTGATTTAAAAAAATAATCTTGAGCTTGCATTTTTTAAAAGATAAATAGTTAACTCTATTCAGACCAGGACTTGTCAATCAAAACATTTTGATGTATAGATAATGTGCCAGATAAGCTAACCGGAGTAAATAGAAAATAATGTATGCTGTTGTCCAACTCACTCTGACACTACGCTGTAATATATATCTTTGTGAATATCAGGAAGGATTGTATAAAATAAGCCCAACAAATTTAACAATTACATTACATATTCATCATTGGCCTCTTTCATTCTGGTAGTAGGTATATGCCTCCTAGAGGAGCTCTCCATCTGTCTCTGATCCGGGCAATGTTCTCCACATTACATGCTACAAAGCTTTAATTTTACGATGGCAAGATATTTTTCTTTCTATTTCAGATCAAATTCAGAATACATTGAATTCTGACATGTTAGTGGGTTTAAAGTGTTTATTCTAACTATGTGCTCTTTTGGACACTCAAGTAGTGTTCAAAGGGTTCAATAAGCCATGTCTTTCATATCCTGCAGCTGTTTCTGTCCGTCGTATGACTTTGTTGTAGCATCATAAAGACTGCAGTACTTATGTGTTTTACTTCGTCCATATCTGCTACTGGTACTACTTGTGTTGTGATGCTTTGCAAAAGCAAATCAAAACGGCTGTTTCAAAAATGGTACATAACCGATAATGCTATGCGATTGTTTTACTTTGTTCATGAAAAAAAATGAGATGGTCCTGTGATTAAAATCTGCTGAGTTGCTTTATCATACAGTTTTTCTTTCTTGGCTTTTTGAGAAATACTTTTTTTAGGATGATTTTGCTTGTTGCATGACTTTATCTTGCAGTTTGGAGCATTCAGTAACAGCTGTTCTTGCTCTCTAACTCAGATTCACACACACACACACACACCCACACCCACACACACACACACACACATACACACGCACACACGCACACACACATCACACACACACACACACACACACATATACACACACACACACACACATGCATCTCCCTGGCTAACCCCCCTGTCTTCCCATCTCCAGATCCCTGTTTGCATCCTACGCCCCTCTCCTGTTTCTACTCCCAGTTTGTAGATAAGTGTGTTTCTTGTAGGCACACCACATCCGCTGTATATGCCAGCCGCTCTGCCACTACACTGCATTGCTCAATACTTGCACAATTCCAATATAAGATTTGCATATTTGCTTAGGCCAGTCTTTCAACTTTTCACTGCTTTCCCCTAATACCAGCTCGCCTTTTCCTGTGTCTCCCACCCCTTCTGCCTCTCTTACCTCTCCTACCTAATGTGGACTCCGAAAAGGATCTCCGGCAAGGAGCACGTCCTCCTTCGCTCCTGCGAGAACCTTGTAAATTGTTTTCAATTAAAACCATAGTAGTTTTGCAAGTTTGCAGGAAATAAACCCGTTAGCCCGGTAGAGCCTGCATACCAGATATCGTTAAAGTTACAGCGCCCTTGACTTCTATTCCTTCATCATAAAGTCCCTCGGCACGCCAACCTTAGACTAGGGTCTAGGTTAACAGGGTCACATCGAGAAGGATGTGGCTCTTCGCTCACGCACGAGTCTTGAAGTAAGAGTGGTATGCCAAACAAGGGGACTTACAGGCAAGGCCCGCCCTTTTCACTGTTCAAGTAGAAATACATGTACAGCTAGGTTTGGAGGTATCTAAGGGGAGACAACTAGTGTGTCTCACTGCCCAAACACCTTTCCGTCATTACCCCCGCCCCTGGGTCTCCTGACCCTAAATCACCAAACTGTTCTGGGATGCAACCGTGACACAGCAGCATCAGCGATGAGATATCTGCTGGACCTGCCAACCTTAACCCACCGACACAAGCTAGCACAAGTCAAGGCCTACCCACGAGTAACAGCAGACGAACATCACCCACTACATCCGAAAATAAGAAACCCAAGAGGGCCAAAGATTAAAAAGAGGATCTTCATGGATGGTGCAGGTAGAGCGAACTCTCGATATGTGTTGTGAAATCGAGGACATGAGAACAGGGTGTGACTGGACGAAGCCGGAGAAAGACATGAGCAACTTCATGAAGGTGATAGCTACGCTAGGTCGCGAGTGGCCGGTAAATGCAACTAATGCGGAAATTGTGACCATCCTTGAGGAAAATTCAGTGATGGTGATGTCGTCTTCACCGACGGATCAGTGAAGCGGGGCCAGAAATCTGGGTGGACGTTCCGTGGTCGAGTTGACAGGAGGATAATTGAAGAACAGTCTGGAGCCTACGAGTGCACTACATCGAGCGTTGCAATGGAGGTCAAGGCAATAACAGAGGCGTTGGAATGGATCAGTATGGAAGCGTATAAACCTTCCCTGTTCGTCACAGATTCGATGAGCACCCTAGAAAAAATCAGGAGTGGATGGTTCTACCGTGACTGGAGAGCGTCTATTGCAAATAGCCACCTCCTAAAGATTACATTGGTGTTCTTCCCTGGTCACGCCGGGGTGCACGGAAATGAGAGTGCTGATGAACTTGCCGGCAAAGCAGCACCCAATGGCCGAATCATGCTCGACCCACCAATGGTGATCGCCAGATGGAAGGAGAGCCTTCACGACCAAGAGGAGACAGAGTCCCGCCCACTCAGCACAATAAAAGAAAAGTGTGTGTGTGTGTGTG